TAGACTATATGTTAACCATTTATGTACTACAATTCTTTGATTTAGAGTGTACCAATCAATTGTTAGGAATGTGAATAATCTCTCTTGTGCTTAACACCTGTGTGCAGTGGCCTATCGTTCTTGTGAACCCCGAGATGACCTCTCACGTGAAGCCAACCCCCACTGTCACACTCGCAAGAGTTACGACGGTGTCTGTTCATACCAACGGCACCCCCTGATTGTTTATCATGTTTTATGATTTAAGCCTGTGTTGTGTTTGCAAATCCCCCTTCCCTTTGAGAATCATGTGTCTGTAACCAGGGCCCTCTAATGATAATAAAAGGAGGAGAACGGCCTTGGGTCGGCAGAACGTGTGGAGACTGTTGCACTGAAAGCCACTCTCTGCCCGTTCTCCTCATGAGAAAAACTTAATTAATCTCTTGTCTTTCTTCTTGTTTTAAATGTCTAGATAAACCTAACAGATACAGTATCGATATCGTAGGCTACTGTATCGATACTGAAAATATAAGAGTATTTTTTGGATTATTTTACTAAATTATTTTGTGACAGCTACAGTTTTGTTTTTTGTTTAGACCAGGGATGTCCAAATGAAATGTACAGAGGCCAAAATTAAAAACCGGGACTAAGTCGTGGGCCAAACTAAATATTTATTGCAAAATTTCAACAGCATTGCATGTTTTCTCTTCTTTCGAGATAAGTAATGTTAAACCTTTTCTTAATAAAACAGTTTTGCTTTAACATTAAATCCAGAATAAGCAGAACATAAAATAATAACAACATTTTAAAAAAAAATGTCACTGGGTGCGGCGGGCAGCTCTAATACAAATTTGATTTGATCTCGGGGGCCGAATATAATTATATCACGGCCCAAATTTGGTCCCCGGGCCTGAATTTGACATGTCTGGTTTTTGAGCTTTGGAGATGTAGACAGACTAAAAATAAAGAGTTAATCAAACATGTGAAAATGAAAAAAATAAAACAAAACACGTGAAGAGTTTTTTTTAAAAGTTGCATTCAATCATGTTTATTTATCACTTTTTATGTAATACAAACGTTTAATTAAAGTTTTACAGTTTGCACAGTTATCACTTTTTTTTCAATAGTTCCAGATAAAGCTGCACTGTGTAACTTTTCAGTTTGGTCGGGGATCCGTCACTTGCTTGTTTCTATGGATACGTCATCGCTCTGTCCGGAATGTTCCACAGTGTGACATTAAACAGCTCTACTTTACATTTATTCAATTACAAGTGGTTTTATCGCTCAAAGATAAATACAAAAACAGACATTCTGACTGTGAGCGGGGTCGCCTCTCCACAGATCTGACCCGGAACTCGGTTCGGTTTGGTCTCCATGGAGATAGAAAGTTTTAATTAATGCCATACTGTGTAACATTCTCGGCGAAGCGATGACATCTCTACGGAGAAAAGCGTCTGACTGAACCTCCACCGGAAAAGTGAAAGAAACAAGGTAAAAGGAGCTGTTCACATTAAAACTACCACTTTATGACATCACAAGGTGGAACATGGAGCGTTTTGAGCTTTGTAAATGTAGACAGACTAATAATAAAGATTTACTCAAACACTCCAGGTCTGTTTTTGAGGAGGAAACAACATTAGAACATGGTTTAAACCTCAAAATAATCCTTGCGTAACACAGAACCTTGAAGGTAATTTACACTTTTATTGTCGTGGTAGTAAAAAGTGTCCTCTGCATTTGACCCGTCCTTCAGCGTCTCTGGGTTAAACGTGTCAGGAGCAGCGGGACCAGCTCCAGATCTTGGTCTAGACTTAATCAGGACTACGTGATCTGGAGGATTTGACCTTTTGTGCGCGTGTTTACTAGACAATATCTAACCTCCAGTAAAACTTACTGACAAACTGATAAATTTTGTGTGGATGATTGTTCAGCAAAACGTTGGATTTAAGAAATGTTTATTACGTAGTCGTTAAAAATAATTTAAGTGAATAATCTACGTAAAACAGAGCTACACGTGACGCAAACTCTCTCAATGAAATGTATTGGAACTGATCTATTCACTTATTTCACTTAATCCATCTTTGTCTCTAAACCTCCTTCCTAAATCTCCATCGTGATTTTTATTTTTTTTTCACAATGGAGAATCTGGGAAAAGTTTTGCATATTAAATCTGACATAAAGCACAGGCGCAGGTGAGAATGTGTCTGTGTTTATTCATTTTTACGGCTGCAGATTTGCTCTGTCGAAGTTTCGTTGTATTTTGGACAATGACAGTAAATCTAAATCTAATCTAAAGTCGGTTCATTTATCGTATTTTTTGGACTATAAGGCGCACTTAAAATCCTTTAATTTTCCGGAGTGTCTATTTGCATCCCGGGTGTTAATAGTTCAATGGACACGACTCCGCATCATTTTGAGTAAAAAAAAAACAAACCGTCAAATATTACAGATTTTCACTGTGCTGGCTCCTTTATGTTTGTACTGACAGTGAGATGTTTTTTTTTTTTTTAAAAAAAAAATAAATACTGTATTTTCCGGGCTATTAGTCGCTCTGGATTATAAGGTGCACTGTCATTAAATGGTCTATTTTTGAACTTTTTTCACAAAAAAAATAAACCGCACTGGACTTTAAATGAAACCCAACAGTGTGATGGGTGAGTGGTTTTGTTTGTTTGTTCGTTCACGGTGACTCTGGGCTTTGTTCAGTTGTGTGGCGTGTAGGGAGGGTGTGTCTGGGACCAACGGATTGTCGGCGTGTTCGCAGTGACTCAGTTGTTCAGTCGTGTCTAGAAGCGGCACATTGCGCTCGCTTTTCCGGTTCGTTCCTCCGTTCCGTTCCTCGTCGGCGTGGAGTGATGAGTGTGTCTGTGGGTGTGTTTCTCTGTGCGGTCGCTGTCTGCTCCGTGTGTGTTTGTGGCTTTGTAGTTTACTGAAGTCGTGCGGGGACACCTGAGTGGATTCGTGTATGGGGCGCTCTGGATTGTGGCGCGCGGTCGTTTTTTTGATGAGGTTAGAGACTTAAGAGCGCGTCTAATGACCCGGAAAAGAAGGTATTCATTTGTACGGCTGCAGATTTGCTCTGTTGAAGTTTAGTTTTATTTTGTACAATGACCATAAATCTAAACTAAAGTCGGTTCATTTACTGTATTTTTTGCACTTATCCTTTAATTTTCCAGAGCGTCTATTTGCACCCTGGGTGTTAATACACGACTCCGCATCATTTTGAGTCAAAAAACACATCAAATATGACTGATTTTCACTGGGCTGGTGCCTTTATGTTTGTACTGAAAGTGAGTTTTCTTCTAAATAACCTGGGTGTAAATAGCATTTTTGTCTAGGAACAGCAACAATGGCGATTTGCCCTGTGTGTGAATAACAATGTTAGCTATTTACACCCAGCGTGCAAATAGAATCTGCCTTCATTTTCTCACAAAATCAACAGTGCTCCTTATGCATTAATTCTGGTTTTGTTTACTGACCTCGAACCAATTTTATGTGATACACGGCGCTCAAAAATCTGTCAGAATGTTTTAGTACGACTTTGGTAAACTACAAAGCCACACCGCATGATGGATTGTTGAAGCATTACGTCTGCTGTAGTCAGAAGCCTCGCGAAGTAAATCCAACAGAAGCTGAACCGAGTGAGGAGTGAGATGTTTTTTTCAGAGCTTATAGTTTATGCAAATGAGTCATGTGGTTTTAAGTTTAGTTTCTGTAAAATGTGAGCAAATGTGTCAAAGCTGAATTAAACACATTATTACTCAATGTATATTTGAGTCGTCCTCGTAGGAAATAAAAAAACAAAAATGATCCAACGCCGGGCGAGTTACACCACGATCTGCCGATGTATCGTGGAGTCTGGACTAAGGATCAGACTCAAGTGTCGTCCGTTTGTTTCTCTTAATGCTCCTTATAATCCAGTGTGATTTATGTTTGAAAACAGACGAGAGAATTCAACATTATTGATATTGAGCCTTATAATCTGAAACATACGGTGTGTAAAATGTTCAGTGTTGATGTGCACCAACACGTCACACTGCACTGATTCTCTGGAGGCTTTAAAACTCCTTAAAGTCCGAGGATGAGCCCCAAACAAAATAATACAACCCCAATACTGATTCCAGCATTAAAAAGAAAGAGCCCTGAAGTGACAATTTTGTTAGAATACCTCTTTTCAAACACATTAAAATTCAGATTCAACAAACTGAAATGTAAAGACTCATTAAGTACGGAAGCAGGGAGAGCTCATTACAAACGCTGCAACAAATACAAGCGTGACAACACAACAAAAAGCCACAACAAACCAAAACAAGCCACAACGGGAGCGACCACGGGACTCTATTTTCTGATCGGATCAAGCGGGAAGTGACTGGGAAAAGTTGAAGAAGAACAAGATTGTGAAAAGTAAAGGAACAAAGAAGTGAACGAATTTAGAAACGTAAGTAAAAGTTATTTATTGTTTTGTGGCCAGGATCGATGCCACTGTTTGGTTCGTCGGAAAATAGTGTCCCATGGTCACTTCCGCTGTGGCTTTTTGTTGTGTTGCGGCTTTTTGTTGTGTTGCGGCTTTTTGTTGTGTTGTAGCTTTTTGTTGTGTTGTGGCTTTTTGTTGTATTGTGGCTTTTTGTTGTGTTGCGGCTTTTTGTTGTGTTGTGGCTTTTTGTTGTGTTGCTTTTGTTGTGTTGTAGCTTTTTGTTGTGTTGTGGCTTTATGTTGTATTGTGGCTTTTTGTTGTGTTGCGGCTTTTTGTTGTGTTGTGGCTTTTTGTTGCGGCTTTTTGTTGTATTGTGGCTTTTTGTTTTGTTGTGGCTTTTTGTTGTATTGTGGCTTTTTGTTGTGTTGTTGCTTTTTGTTGTGTTGTGGCTTTTTGTTGTGTTGCGGCTTTTGTTGTGTTTGTGGATTGTTTGTTTTGTTGTGGCTTTTTGTTGTATTGTGGCTTTTTGTTTGTGTTTGTGGCTTTTGTTGTGTGTTGTATTGTGGCTTTTGTTGTTGTTGTGGCTTTTGTTGTGTTTTGTGGCTTTTGTTGTGTTGTGGCGTTTTGTTGTAGTTGTGGCTTTTTGTTGTGTTGCGGCTTTTTGTTGTGTTGCAGCTTTTTGTTGTGTTGTGGCATTTGTATTCGTTGTGGCTTTTGCATTAAAATAGAGTCCCGCGGTCATTTCTGTTGTGGCTTTTTTTGGTTTGTTGTGGCTTTTTGTTGTGTTGTGGCATTTGCATTTGTGTTGTTGAGTTTGTATATGCTGCGGCATTTGCGTTTGCGTCCTCCCGGCTTCCGTAATTAAGGGATTTTTAAAAAGTTATAAAAACGTGCCGTACTATTGCATTATTAAGCAGCAAATCTACATAAAAGTAGTAACACTTATTTTAAATTGGGTAAAATGTGAATTAACATAAAAACCCTAAAATGAAACTGAAATGTGCAGGACGTGAAACTGATTTGAAATGCCGTGGACCAGAATCGAGCTTCAGGCCGATCTGAGCAGGAACCTCTGAAAAACAAAATAAAACAGAGAAATTGGTTAAAATTTTAAAAAGGTAAAAACTATAACTGCTCCTTTTGTTTTTAAAATCACAACTGAACCCAGAACATGATTATTACCTCCAAAAATAATGTGAACAAGAGCCAAAGTCTGTCTAAATTACACAATAGTTCGACTAAAACAAATAAATGACAACTTTATTTTGTGGAATCGAGGTTTAAAGTGTGATTTTAACTCTATCTGCCATGTGGTATTAAAGGATTTTCATTATTTTATACTTTTTTGAGTCCTCAGCTTTTTCAACTTTGTATTTGAGACTCTGAAAAGGACAATTTTTCAGAATTTCAGCACGTCCAAGTAGCACCTCCTAAAGTTTTACACTGTTGTTTCCTCGTCACAAACAGACCTGGAGTCGTGTTTTGTTTCATTCTCACATGTTTAACTCACAAACTCTGCACATTTAGGCGGAGTTCTTCTCTCAGACAAAGACAAATGTGTGTGAATGAAACTAAACACAACTCCAGGTCTGTTTATGAGGAGGACGCCACATTAGAACATGATTTAAAGTTTATAAGAGTCAGTTTTATGTGATACTGGACCTTTAAGTTCCAGTTAAAGTCGTAGTTCTACACACTGTATGGTCTTGTGTTTCCTTGGACAGTAGTAAAATGAATTAGCCTGATTCATCAGACGGTTTCACTTTGCGGAAAACTGTCTGACCTCGCAGGATTAGGATTCGTTCACTTGACGGTAGGCGGGTACTTTTTTTAAAAATTTAAGGAATCGCTGTTATTTGGTCGTGATGTATGTAAAGCTCCAAATCCCGTAGGAACAAGGGCAATAACGTCTTTCCCCTTGATAAAATTAATCAAATATTCTCTTTGTTCCAGCTTTAAATCCTCGATCCCAGGAATCGTTGCCAACACTGAATGTTTGACTCTTCGCTGATTGTCTGGTGCCTGAACTCGCATCACTTCTGGGGGTTTTGCGAACCGTTTAGTGTATTCTGATTCCTGATCTAGTCACTGGAGAGAAATGAAATTGAGCTAGACGAAGACCGTCTTGTCGGTTGAAACGTGTTGGCGTCCGTTCATGCAATAAAGGACTTTTAATATATTCAGTCGTTGAGCCTTGGGTTTGTACCTTGCCCACTTTTACTATTTTTTTTTTTACACTGTAAGGGTAACATTTTGTAAAGACAACTCCGGGGGCCTCATTTATAAAGCTCGCTTCAACAAAAATCTTTGCGTACACGCTCCACGCCAACCGCGGTATTTATGAACCTCGACTAAAGCATGGCATTTGCTTCACTCTACGCCAACTCGGGACCTCTTGTAAACTCTACGCAAAGTCTGGAGACACGGGGAAAAAGCGACACTCGTGGCGAGGAGCAGAAGTGAACAGAGTTTGAGGAAGTGTTTCCCTCCCTCGCTCCTTTCGCTCTCCAGGGGAGGGCATCTGAATCTCTCGCACGCGCTCATAATTTGACCATTCAGATCAGCGCGTGCATGTATCTATGTGTATATGCATAAATATACAGGGCCAGTCCACACACACCACAGACAGACTTAAAAATATAGAGATAAAACTCTTGAAACAGCGAGAAAACACATGAGCTTTACTGCAAAGATGTTCTGCCTAAATATTATGAAATATAATTAAATTGACAGATGAGTCGTTGTTGTCACTTTTAGTTGTGTATTTATTTGTAAAACCTTGATTAAGCCTTTGTCGTGACTGCGTGGAGCCTCTGTCCCGCGTGTCTCGGTCAAACCCACTGATTATCGGCTCATGTTTAGGGAAATCTCATTCACGAGTCACTTTACATGCTCCTTTTATGGTGAGGTGGAGGTGTGAGGGGGCGTGGTCTGTCCTTTTATGGTGAGGTGGAGGTGTGAGGGGGCGTGGTCTGTCCTTTTATGGTGAGGTGGAGGTGTGAGGGGGCGTGGTCTGTCCTTTTATGGTGAGGTGGAGGTGTGAGGGGGCGTGGTCTGTCCTTTTATGGTGAGGTGGAGGTGTGAGGGGGGCGTGGTCTGTCCTTTTATGGTGAGGTGGAGGTGTGAGGGGCGTGGTCTGTCCTTTTATGGTGAGGTGGAGGTGTGAGGGGCGTGGTCTGTCCTTTTATGGTGAGGTGGAGGTGTGAGGGGGCGTGACGTGACGTGGGTTTACGTGCGCAAATTCTAGTTGCAGGTGGGATTTATAAAGCACAGATTGCGTGTTTTGGTGCGTGCGGTGCGTTTTCTAAATATGGAGTTTGCGCGGCGCCTCTCGTAGCTACAGACGTACGCACGAACTTACCACAACTCCTGCACAGTTTTTTATAAATGAGGACCCAGGACTGTTGTGCAGGGAACAACATTACAGTATAACTTCAGTGAGTGCGTATACATGCACATCAATAACCCGGTTATTAGCCATATCCCGGTTATGTCAGTATTCGGGTTACTGTGTTTACATGCGCACTGAGAAACCGGGACACTCATATCCGCGTGTACATGATCAAATGGAGTGTCCCGGTTTCTTGACATAATCTTACAAATGCGCAGGCGCAAAAATTAACTTAAATCGATTTAATAAACCAGGAAAAATACAAACCGTGAGCTCCTTTAGCATAAGAAGCTAAGGAGCTACGAGATCTCCCACAATCCACTGTGCAGATTCTTCATTAAAATCTTCTGCATAAATAAACTCAACTTTACAACATATAAACCATAAACACTATAGACACATCAGCCCGTTTGATCAGATAATTCAGCTCTGATCACATTTGTTTACGTTTTACAGAAACGAAATTTAAAACCGTAGGCTAATTAGCATAAACTGTTAGCGGCGATAAAAACAACTCGCTCCTTGCGCCGCTGATGTGATCAGTTTCTTTTGGACTAAATGACACGACTCTGTGGATTATGTGTGTTATTTCTGTGACAGAAGAGGTGCTGATGATGGTGAGTCTGTTCTGTGCGTGTAGAGTATAGGAGATAGTTCATGTTTTAGCTTTTCAGCGTCACACAAGTGCAGATTGTACGTGTGCAGGTTTAGCGCAGCTCTTTATTTTACGTCATTTCACTCGTTTGGTCACTTTATTTATGTTGGTCAATTTATTTATGTCACTACTGTTGTGGTGAAAGGCTGGAAAGTGTCTTTTGGACGCATGTGACTCAACTTTATGTTGCAGTAACCGGGGTACTGCGTATACATGCCACAAGTATCCCGGTTACTATCGGAATAAACCAGCTACAGTAACCCGGTTTCTAATAACCGGGACACTGCCATAACCGGGTTACTGAAACCGGGTTACTGCGTTTACATGCACCATCAAGAAACCGGGATACTCAAAAAACCCGATCATAACCGGGTTACTGATGTGCATGTATACGCACTCAATGTCTTTTAAGTCGCACTGTGTAACTTTTTGGTTCTGAGTCTGTCACCTGTTTGTTTCTATGGATACGTCACCGCTCTGCCTGGAATGTTCCGCAGTGTGACATTAAACAGCTCTACAGGTGATTTTACAGCTCAAAAATACCTATAAAAACAGATAGTGTGACTGTGAGCGGGGTCGCCTCTCCACAGACCCGCCCTGTAACCTGATCTAGTTTGGTCCGTGAAGACAGAATTGCAGATTTAAAGCCACACTGTGAAACATTCCAGACTGCAGAGCGAAACGAGAGTCGACCGGAGCAAGAGCAGAGAAGCCCGCCGTGACGTCAGCGGGGGGAGCGTGCGCTGGTGCAGATGAGCGTCGGCCCCCGTGGTGTCGAGCCCGTTTCAAAGGTGAGCGAGACAAAGGCCGGTGTGTGCGGGGCAGCGGTGCATGCTGGGTAACGTGCACTAGAATGGGGCGTATTGTGGAGCAGTGACAGGGGCTTTGTTTGAGCGTGAGCTGAGGTGGGACAGCGGTGGGAGGGGAGCCTGGGAAACAGAAAGGCTCCGATAGAAAGGATCCACTGTACAGAGACAGAGAGACAGAGCGAGCGGGCAGACGGCTCCTCATCGTTATCATCACATACATCACATTTAAATACTTTTATGACCTTTTTGCTTTCCCTTGTGACGGAAATATTATTAAAAGGTCTAAAAATTACGCAAAACTGACTCTTACAACGCTGAGACGACGCCACTAAACGGATTTAGATCATTGTGTTGCCTTTTATTGTTTTGAAAATGTTAAACTCACAGAAAACAAGGCCCCACCGCCCTTTGCTCTCCACGCTAAGTCACTCCCCCTTCAGAAACTCGAAACTACTGCACGTCACATCAGGTTTGTGAAGTTGCTGTGTACTAGAAGGACTAAACCAGGACTAAACCGGGACTGAACCAGGACTAAACCAGGACTAAACCAGGACTGAACCAGGACTGAACCAGGACTGAACCAGGACTAAACCAGGACTAAACCAGAACTGAACCAGGACTGAACCAGGACTGAACCAGGACCAAACCAGGATTAAACTAGGACTAAACTGGGACTAAACTGGGTCTAAACCAGGACTGAACCAGGACTGAACCAGGACTGAACCAAGACTAAACTAGGATTAAACTAGGACTAAACCGGGACTAAACTGGGTCTAAACCAGGACTAAACCAGGACTAAACCAGGACTAAACCAGAACTGAACCAGGACTGAACCAAGACTAAACTAGGATTAAACTAGGACTAAACTGGGTCTAAACCAGGACTAAACCAGGACTACACCAGGACTAAACCAGGACTGAACCAGGACCGAACCAGGACTGAACCAGGACTAAACTAAAACTAAACCAGGTCTAAACCAGATCTAAACCAGGACTAAACCGGGACTAAACTAGGACTAAACCAGTACTAAACCAGTACTAAACCAGGACTAAACCAGGACTAAACCAGGACTAAACCAGGACTGAAACCTAAACCAGGACTGAAACCAGGACTAAACCAGGGACTAAACCAGGACTAAACCAGGTCTAAAACCAGGACTAAACTAGGACTGAAACCAGGACTAAACCAAGACTAAACCAGGACTAAAACCAGGACTAAACCAGGACTAAACCAGGACTAAACCAGGACTGAACCAGGACTAAACCAGGACTAAACCAGGACTAAACTAGGACTAAACCAGGACTAAACCAGGACTGAACCAGTGTCATTAGATGAGTATCGTATAGTATTTTTTAGGGTGACCATGTTCACCATCTTAATGTACACTGTCCCTGTTAAATAAACCAAATAAATAAAATATAAATATAAACACATCGCAGCCACCGAGACGATCACCTCCGCTGATGTGTTTATGTAATAAAAACACCAAAGTCTCTCTCTCGGCCCGGTCTGCCATCGCTCCAGGAAAAGACCAGGAAATGTCACTTGTTTCCAGGGCAACAGATGCGACTAAACTCAAACACAAAGGCGTCCAACTAGAGGCGTCCAGCTCGTTTTTTGACGCTCCGGTCTGAACGTATGAATAAAACCTCCATCAGACATATTTTTGATGAGGGAACAACATTAGAACATTGGAAGAAAGATACAAAAAGTCGATTCTACACTTACAACAAACTCTCTTTAATTAAAAAATATAATAATTAGGGATGGAACAAGATCTCGCGAGACAAAACTTCCACAAGATCGAGATTTTTTTCCATGTTTTGGACAAAAAAGGGTTAAACACGGATGAGCTGCATCTCTTAAAGTTCCAAAAAGCAGGGCAAGAATGGAGACAAAAATATTAAATCAAATAAATAAATAAATTGACTGAATCGTGGAATTTATACATTTGGAATTCTGTTAAAATCGTCTTGTTTCGTTCCCGTGGACCCGATCTCGTATCTCGTCTTGTGGAAGTCGTATCTCGTTCCGTCCCTTATAATAAAGTGACGCTGCGTGTACCTGTACGACGAAGGCGGCCAGCCCCACGAGCAGACTGAAGAGAGTGAAGCGCCTCAGCCGCCTCAGCGTGACCTGCAGGAGGAGCCGTCGAGCCCAGTGGTTCTTGCGGTGGGTGTGGGGCGGGTAGCGCATCCTGTTGACGGCCTCCAGGCTCAGAGACTTGATGAGGCAGCTCCTCAGGTGACTCAGGCGGTCAAACGTGTGCTTTCCTTTGTAACTGCCCATGCCGCTGTTACCTGCAGGGGGCGCAACACCGCACACACTTTAGTATAATAATCCTTACAGCGCTTTGTCCTTTGCAGATCAGAGGAGGTGCACACAGACGGAGTTATGGATTAGTTTTTGAGCCGATACGAAATCTGATTTTTGAGCTGCTGCTGTGCTCAATAACAGAGCATGAAAACCCGACTGAAGTCTGTCGCTGCGGGTTCGGACAAATATGTAGAACTTCAGGCTCTGGGTCGGACGCGGATACATCAGGGTCAGTCTGTATGAAATCAGCCGTTTTCAAGGAATCTCCCCTATGAGCCATCTCAGATTTGGTTGAAAAAAATTCTAATTCAAATCTCAAATTTTAGCTCAGTCCCTTCAGTCGTTCCTGAGTTATTTCCCGTTGAAATTTTGGGGCCTTGTTCACTTTTTCAGAAGCCTTAATTTATAATCGTGTTTGAGAGACCAGAACTAGAAAACAGAGCTAGAAGCTGGAAATGTGTATTATTGTAGATTCTTTGTCATAGATTTTGAATTTTTTTGTCAAATATTGTGTATCTTTATTAACCCATTGACACTGGATGCTGCGCAGCACTGAGTCTCCTGTCGGTGTCCGGATTGTCTGGTGATCAGTGTAACTGGTAAAGGCGGAGCCACATCTGGAAGCATCGGGGGGCGTGTCTTCCTCTCGCTTCATTCACTCCCATAGAGACGCAAAACTGCCGGAGCTGTACTGTCGCGTTAAACCTTCTTTATCGTGGCGTTTTATTTCTCCATTGAAAAATAATCCAACTGTATCCCGCACATGTTTCCATCAAGACCTGGTTTGAAGTAACAAACGTTGCTCTTTATGGCCACTTGATCTGGTCGCTGTTCCAGACGCTCCTGTAACAGGTGTCATATCGCTGTGTCGTGTAACAAATAAACAAGGTCAAGCACAAAAATGTTGTCCGTTTGTTGTCCATGGTCAAGCACAACATTTTTCCAAGAAATCAGTAAGATTTCATAACTATTGTGTAATGGATGTTCCAAAACTCAAATTGTGCTTGTTTATGTGCAGAAGATACAATGTGAAAAGAGTTATTTTACATGACATGGGCTCTTTAAATTCTCTGGATAATGTGGATGAGATGCTGCAGTTTAAATTCACAACTTTACGAGAGGTGAGGAATAAAGTCTAATCATTATTTTCACTATATCCTGAGTTTGTATTTTGCGTCTCTGTGTCCGTTAGAGGAACACAAACTATATCCTCCAAGTGTCATTGACGCTTTTAAAAACACGGGCGTGTGTGGCTTTGCTGCGTCACGTGTCGCTGAAGATCCTGGTAAATTCCAGGTAAAGAAACACTGTAAATCCTGTAAGAGCGAATTAAAAATAATGTATTCAATTAATAATAATAACAATCCATAAATAAAAACCCAGGATCATGTACAGCGGGTTAAAACAAACATTTTAAGACTCTATAACATGTCTTTACTCGATCGACCCTTTAACCCTTGACCCTTTGGTTTTGTCTGGGACTCACCCACTCCTCCGAAGGGCAGCGTGGACACCGTGAAGTGGACCAGACAGTCGTTGGCCAGAAGAGCTCCGCTGGACGTCTCTGAGATCATCCTCTGAATGAGCTACGAGAGAAACAACGAAACATGAAACACAGGAAAGTTACAGAGTGCCTCTTTAAAATAACAGCTGCACCTTCTTGTCCTTGGTGAAGACGTAGATGACCAGCGGCTTCTCTCGATCGTTGATGAACTGAATGGCGTCGTCCACTCCTCGGACCGGGAGAATGGGCAGAACAGGACCGAAGATCTCCTCCTGCATGATCTTAGCGTCTGGAGACACGTCCTTCATCACCGTGGGACCTGGAACATCACGAGAAACTTCAGAGGAGCAGGTACATCTCATTTGGCCTGGAGGACGGCTTCTTCCTGCTTGTTTCCATAGAAATGTTGTTTATTTATCAAATATGCTGCTGAAGAAATTTAGTGTGTGTTTTGATGATGTTAAATGTTTTCTGTTCAGAGCCTTTTGCCTTTTTCCACCGTACACAGCTCCTCTGTGGTGGAATTATGGACGTGGGACCTTCTTCAGACTCACTGTGGTCTTTAGGTTCTGCTGCAGGTGCCCAGGTGGCACTGGGTCAGTCAGCTGTTGGTGGGCGCTCACATCCACTGAGGCACTATAGATATTTAACTCTTTCCCCCTTGGACGCCGACTAGGAACAACCCACACATACATGACGAGGGCTCCCTGTAGAGCACAACTGTATAAACGAAAACACTTCCACGAGTGATTATAAATGACTTTCACACTCATGAACTGAATTGAAACACAGACATATTTGGTATTTCTGGAAACTTTAGACTCTGAACTCTTCAGTTATGGATGTTTAAATGTGATTCAACTCATTTACAGGTTTATAACAACTCACTGAAAATGAGAGTTTACCTGGTCACGTGCAAAATCGAAAACAAAAAACTACATTCAGCATCTGATATCTGCATGTTCTGAAAACTATATTCATAAAGAAATGTAACAATATATTTGTCAAAGTACCATATTTCCGGGCCATTAGACGAGGTCTTAAGCCTCTAACCGCATCAAAAAACAACCGTGCGCCCCGCAATCCAGAGCGCCCCACAAGACTTCAGTAAACTACAAAGCCGCACCACCCGCAGAACACACAAACACACACGGAGCAGACAGCGACCGCACAGCGACAAACACCCACAGACACTCATCACTCCACACCGACGAGGACGGAGTGAGTCCAATGTGCCACTTCTAGACACGACTGAACAACTGAGTCACTGCAACCAATCCGTTGGTCCCAGACACACCCTCCCTACACGCCACAACTGAACAAAGCCCAGAGTCACCGTGAACGAACAAACAAACAAAACCACTCACCCATCACACTGTTGGGTTTCATTTAAAGTCCAGGAGGTTTATTTGTGAAAAAAGTTCAAAAATAGACCATTTAATTTATAATCCAGAGCGACTAATAGTGCAGAAAATACGGTATTTAAACAGATTTCATATCATCAGATACAGTACAGCCAAGTGTACACCTGTTTTTACCTGTTGTTCACCTGTGTGGACCTAATTCATTTTTTCCATTTAACTTATTCGACTCATCACAGCCTCTGTTCACGTGTGAAAAACAGGAACCGTTTCTAATGTTCGTCAAATCACGTCTTTAGTGACACAGTGCAGGTGTTAAAACACGTCATTAATGAAACAAGGGGATCGTCAAATGTCGTCTTCATGGGGGAAAGAGTTGATGTTCACATTTATGCAGCACATGGACGTGTTGAGCTGAATTCCTGCTGTTCCAGTTCTGCTCTGAGAAAACACAAACTCCACACTTTTAATTCACTTTTAAAACAAACCTGAGTGTCTTGTACATTATATTATATTTTGTTTTTCTTTTTCACTATGGACCAAATCATATTTGTGTCTGAAATAAAGAATAAATAAATATTCCACAGTATGGCAAAAAACTCATCTATCTCCATGAAGAATATTCCAGAGTGTATTTTTAACTTTCTGTTTCCATGGAATCATGCGGGGGGGCTACCTCAGACCTCCAGAAAGTTACATACTGTAGCTTTAAAAGAACAATATTGACATAAAACGTCTGGATATGAAAAGAGAATCCTCTCACTGAAATATAAAGAATAAAGTAAGAAGAGAGCAGTGTGTGTGAACCAGGAGGAGAGTGTGTTTATACAACACACATCTGTACAGGAGCAGGACACACCAGAAACATCTGGAACAGGCGCTTTAACACTTCTCACTGTGTTTGTCTGGGTGTTCACAGACTAGTTGTGTCCTTTTGGTTTTTTGGTTGTGTCCCTTGGGTGCTCTGGTCTTACTGATGTAGCGGTCCTTCTCGTCGTAGTCTCCGCCCACCGCCACGGCCCCGCCCTCCATCAGACCCACGATTCTCTGGAAGTGCCTCTGGTTTATGATGCGGCCGTAATCTTTAAAGCTCTGAGGGTTTTCTGTGTAAAACTCCTGCAACAGAAACAATAAGTAATGTATCTTATCATTTATAACAGGCATGTCCAAACTATGGCCCATGGGCCAAATACGGCCCTCAGACAAATTTTTCTTGGCCCTCAGGCTTCCAGGAGAATTGACCCAAATTACCTTGCATCAATGAAAAATTAACTTTTTATTGCAAGTTTTTTTGAAAATCTATCTTGATAAAGTTAATATTTAATATTTAGTGTTTGGTTTTGAGGATCTTCGCATGAATAAAGACTGAGGCTCATTCTAACGTGTTAAACATGCACAGATTTCAATATTTCAATTTACTGAGCACCAGTTTACGTCCCTCGATCAGTCCTCTGCTTCGTCTGTGTTTAGATTTGTGGCCCTTGATGAAAAAAGTTTGGACACCCCTGGTTTATAGCCCAGTATTATGCATGCAACCTATATATTTTTTTTTATTTTGGGCAAAGTTTGGTGAGTTTTTGAACATGTTTAAGTGGTCAAATTAGAGCTCAAAAAGCTGAAGAAAAAATAATAAATAAACAAATAAAAATAATATTTTTAGCAAAAACAATATATCCGTTAACACTGGAACAGCATATTATATGTTTTTTGAAAACTCTCGACCTTCCCCACGTCACCGTGGGGTCATTGGTGAGTGACGGGCGCTGACGCGCTCGTCATTCACCATCTCGTCGGGGTTGCCCATCGCCTTCCATTGACTTCCATTCATTTTAGCAGTAGTAAATATGGCTCAGGCCTTGGGCGTGGGTTACTGGGACACTGCTGTTCGTGCCGGGGGCGACCGAGGACATAGTTGCATGTCGTCGTCTCATCGTTGCCCATGCACTTCTCATAGCAAAAGCAATAGGCCCTAAGCCCTGTCGGGGCTTGGGCAGAAAAGTAGACTAGAGTAATAAAAGTCAGTTATATAGAAGAGGTGATAAGGAAACAGTGCAAAAATGATATAAGATAAGATAAAATAAGATATGACTGACAGGACAGAGGATTATCTGTTCCATCGACATGGAGACGCTTTTACTTTTGGACTGAAGAGGAGCAGGTCTGTGGAGCAGCGAGGACAAATGGATCTGATTCTTATCAGCGCAGCAGATACAACAAAACCAACAGAGAGATAAGATCTACACCCTCCAGGTAATAAAACACACTGACTGTAGTTGGAGTAGAGTCAGTAGAAGTATATGCAGTAGTAGCAGTAGTAGTAGCAGTAGTAGCAGTATTAGTAGTAGTAGTAGTAGCAGTAGTAATAGTAGTAGCAGTAGCAGTAGTAGTAGTACTTGTAGTACTAGTAGCAGTAGTAGTAGTAGTGTTTGTACCTTGATGCATTTGCGTATCTCCTCCACCACTCGGTCCTGGACACTGGGTTCACACAGAACATAATCTGGAGCGATACACGTCTGACCACAGTTTACAAACTTCCCCCACGTGATCCTCCTGAACACACAAACAACACACACACAACACACACACAACACACACACACACACACAACACACACACACACACACACACACACACACAACACACACACACACACACACACACACAACACACACACCACACACACACAACACACACACACAACAACACACACACACACACACAACACAACACACAGACAAACATGAGACACACACCAGAACATATCAGCTTGATACACGGATCATCACAAACAGAGCTGGGGTTGTGTTTTGTTTCATTCACATGTTTGACTAAAACTTTATTATGAGTCTGTCTACATCTGCAAAGCTCCAAACGCTCTGCTCCACCTCGTGATGTCATGAAGTGGCAGTTTTCAAGTGAACAGCTCCTTTTATTTTTAGTTCAGTAGAGACTGGTGATTCCAGAGCTGATAATAAATGATCCAAATGATTCTAGTGTGATGTGGGGAGTTTAAAAACACAGTGGAGCACTTCCTGTATCACCGCATGACATCACAAGGTGGAACAGAGTGTTTTCAGCCTAAATCTGCAGGGTTTGTGTGTTAAACATGTGTCCAGGTCTGTTTGTGACGAGGAAACGACATTAAAACAGATCAGAAAACTGTGTAAAATTGACCAAAATAAGATTAAATGAAAGTTTCTGACGTGTCTTTGTTTTGTTTTCTCACCGACAGGCGACTGACAGGTCACAGTCCGGGTGCACGTAACAGGGGCTCTTCCCCCCCAGCTCCAGGGTGACGGGCGTCAGGTGCGCACCCGCCGCCAGCATCACCTGTCGTCCCACGGAGGTGCTGCCCGTGAAGAAGATGTGCTCCCAACGCTGACGCAGCAGCTCCTGAGTCTCTGCCACACCTCCAGGGACCACCGGGTACAAGTCCTGAGGAGAGACCGGGACTGAACCAGGACTGAACCAGGACCGAGACGGGACTGAGCTGGGACTGAGCCAGGACTGAGTCAAGACTGAGCCAAGACTGATCCAAGACTGAGTCAAGACTGAGCCAGGACTAGACCAGATCTAGACCAGGACTGAGCCAGGACTGAGTCAGGACTAAACCAAGATTAACCCAGGACTAAACCAGGACTAAACCAGGACTAAAGCAGGACTAAACCTGAACTGAGCCAAGACTAGGCCAGTACTGAACCAGAATTAAACAAGTACTAAATAAAAACTAAAGTAAACCAGGACTAGACCAGGACTGAGCTGGGAATGTGCCAGGAGTAGACCAGGACTAAACAAAGACCACACCAGGACTAAAGTGAGACTAAACCAGGACTAAAGAAGAACTAAATAAAAAACTGCACCAGGACTAAAGAAGAACTAAAGAATAACTAAATAAAATCTAAAACAGGACTAGACCAGGACTAAACAAAGACCACACCGGGACTAAAGCGGGACTAAAGCAGGACTAAAGAAGAACTAAAGAAGAACTAAATAAAAACTAGACCAGGACTGTCCCAGGACTAAACCAGGACTAGACCAGGACCGTCTCTGTACTAGTCTTGTATAAAGAGTTCTGACCTGGTCCAGATACTGGGGCAGCAGCTCGGCCATGACCTCAGACGAGTGACAGCTCAGCTCAGACGGTTTTATCACCGCCGCGTTTCCTGAAACACAAACCACACACAACTGACCAGGAGTCCGTCACCTGCTCGTTTCCATGGATACGTCATCGCTCTGCCTGGAAAGTCCCACAGCGTGACATTAAACAGCTCTACTTTACATATTTATTCAATTTTAGAGCTCAAAAATCCCTAGAAAATCCCTAGATCTGACCTGGAACTTGGTCTGGTTTGGTCTCCATGGAGATAGAAAGGTTTAATGCCATACTGTGGGACATTGTGCCTTTTACAGACTGGTAAACACAGCATGAATCTGCCTGAAAATAAAAAACTGGGCTCATTTAAGTGAAAGGTCTCAGTGAAGTTGAGAGCCTGAGTGTTTGATGTGCAGCTGTAGTGCCCTCGTGTGGTGGCGCTGCTGTACTGCACCTCAGGACCAAACACTGTAAAAACTAAAACTTTCAACAGTCTGTGTTCAGGACTCATGATCAGACTTGACCAGGTTTGTTTTTGACTTTTATTCGTAGAGCCATGATCCTATGGTCCATAATCTATAATAGTCCTGGTTTAGACCTAGTTTAGTCCTGGTTCAGTCCTGGTTTAATTCTGGTTTAATTCTGGTTTAGACCTGGTTCAGTCCTGGTTTAATTCTGGTTTAATTCTGGTTTAGACCTTGTTCAGTCCTGGTTCAATCCTGGTTTAGTCCTGGTTTAGTCCTGGTTTTGTCCTGGTTTAGTTCTGGTTTAGACCTGGTTTCAGTCCTTGTTTTAGTTCTGGTTTTTAGTCCTGGTTTAGACCTGGTTTAGACCTGGTTTTAGACCTGGTTCAGTTGTAGTTCAGTCCTGATTCAGTCCTGCTTTAGTCCTGGTTCAGGCCTCGTTTAGTCCTGGTGTTAATCCTGGTTTAGTCCTAGTTTAGATCCTGGTTTAGTCCTAGTTTAATCCTGGTTTAGTCCTGGTTCAGTCCTGTTCAGGCCTCGTTTAGTCCTGGTGTTAATCCTGGTTTAGACCTGGTTTAGTCCTGGTGTTAGTCCTGGTTTAGTCCTAGTTTAATCCTGGTTTAGTCCTGGTTTAATCCTGGTTTAGTCCTGGTTCAGTCCTAGTTTTATGGTCACCACCAGAGACAGAAACATGTGAAGAAGGTAAATACATCTCCTACTGTTTTGTTTTTTAAAAAGAACCCAAGAAATGACTGAAAAACTTTTGTCCAGTATCAGATCTGAACTTCTCGCCCTGGAGTCTGGGTTCTGACCTGCGGCGATGGCTCCCACCAGCGGCTGCAGGGTCACGGCCCACGGGTAGTTCCAGGCCCCGATGATCAGCACCAGGCCCAGGGGCTGAGGCTGGACGAAGACCTGGTCCTGGAGCGTCAGAAGAGTCCTCTCCACCGGACGAGGAGACGCCCACTCGCACAGGTGATCCAGAGCCACGTGGATCTCCTCCTCACAGCCCAGAGTCTCAAACAACTCTGTGCTCTGCTCACTCTGATGAGAGGAGAGACGGAGGAGAGGAGAGAGAGGAGAGAGGAAGAGAGAGAGGAGAGAGAGGAGAGAGAGAGAGAGAGAGAGAGAGGAGAGAGAGGAGAGAGAGAGAGAGGAGAGAGAGAGAGAGAGAGAGAGAGAGAGAGAAGAGAGGGAGAGAGGAGAGAGAGAGACGGAGAGAGGAGAGAGAGAGAGAGAGAGAGAGAGGAGAGAGAGAGGAGAGAGAGAGAGAGGAGAGAGAGAGAGGAGAGAGAGAGAGAGAGAGAGAGAGAGAGAGAGAGAGAGAAGAGAGAGAGAGAGAGAGAGAGAGAGAGAGAGAGAGAGAGGAGAGAGAGAGAGAGAGAGAGAGAGAGAGAGAGAGAGAGAGAGAGAGAGAGAGAGAGAAGAGAGAGAGAGAGAGAGAGAGAGGAGAGAGAGAGAGAGAGAGAGAGAGAGAGAGAGAGAAGAGAGAGGAGAGAGAGAGAGAGAGAGAGAGAGAGGAGAGAGAGAGAGAGAGAGAGAGAGAAGAGAGAGAGAGAGAGAGAGAGAGAGAGAGAGAGAGAGAGAGAGAGAGAGAGAGAGAGAGAGAGAGAGAGAGAGAGAGAGAGGAGAGAGAGAGAGAGAGAGAGAGAGAGAGAGAGAGAAGAGAGAGAGAGAGAGAGAGAGAGAGAGAGAGAGAGAGGAGAGAGAGAGAGAGAGAGAGAGAGAGAGAGAGAGAGAGAGAAGAGAGAGAGAGAGAGAGAGAGAGAGAGAGAGAGAGAGAGAGAGAGAGAGGAGAGAGAGAGAGAGAGGAGAGAGAGAGAGAGAGAGAGAGAGAGAGAGAGAGAGAGAGGAGAGAGAGAGAGAGAGAGAGAGGAGAGAGAGAGAGAAGAGAGAGAGAGAGAGAGAGAGAGAGAGAGAGGAGAGAGAGAGAGAGAGAGAGAGGAGAGAGAGAGAGAGAGAGAGAGAGAGAGAGAGAGAGAGAGAGAGAGAGAGAGAGAGAGAGAGAGAGAGAGAGAGAAGAGAGAGAGAGAGAGAGAGAGAGAGAGAGAGAGAGAGAGAGAGAGAGAGAGAGAGAGAGAGAGAGAGAGAGAGAGAGAGAGAGAGAGAGAGAGAGAGAGAGAGAGAGAGAGAGAGAGAGAGAGAGAGAGAGAGAGAGGAGGAGAGAGAAGAGAGAGAGAGAGAGAGAGAGAGAGAGAGAGAGAGAGAGAGAGAGAGGAGAGAGAGAGAGGAGAGGAGAGAGAGAAGAGAGGAGAAGAGAGAGAGAGAGAGGAGAGAGAAGAGAGAGAGAGAGAGGAGAGAGAGAGAGAGAGAGAGAGAGAGAGAGAGAGGAGAGAAGGAGAGAGAGAAGAGAGAGAGAGAGGAGAGAGAGAGAGAGAGAGAGAGAGAGAGAGAGAGAGAGAGAGAGAGAGAGAGAGAGAGAGAGAGAGAGAGAGAGAGAGAGAGAGAGAGAGAGAGAGAGAGAGAGAGAGAGAGAGAGAGAGAGAAGAGAGAGAGAGAGAGAGAGAGAAGAGAGAGGAGAGAGAGAGAGAGAGTGGAGAAGGAGAGAGTGAGGGAGGCAGGAGAGAGGAGAGAGAAGAAAGAGAGAAAAAAGGGGAGGTAGAGGAAGAGAGAGAAGAGAGAGGCTCAGGAATTACAGAGAAATGAACCATAAACCAGGTCAAAACATCTGTGATCAAACTCCACCTGACACTCTCACCTGTTTAGTCCTGATTTAGTCCTGGTTTAGACCTAGTTTAGTCCTAATTTAGTCTTGGTTTAGTCTTGGTTTAGTCCTACTTTAATCCTGGTTTAGTCCTAGTTTTGTCCTGGTTTAGTCCTGATTTAATCCCACTGTTACGGCCCCAGGCCTTTAATATTTCTGTAGAGTTTCCTTGATTCCTGCTGCAGGAGTCCTGGTCTGTGATTGTGGAGCAAGTCGACGCCCACCTCACCTGCAGCCACCTCCCCCTATTTAAGGGGAATTGCCAGCACCTGGGTGCTGGCCTTGGTGGCCAGTCTTTTGGTTTTGTGTTTGTGTGCTAGTCTGTTCTGTTTTGTGCCTTTTTGGGTCACTCGATTCTGTTTGTGGTTATGTGGTTTAATTTGGGACTGGTTTTAGTTTAGTGTGTGTCCTAAGTTTTACCACGTTTTGTGTAACTGCGTGACCCTTTTCTGGCACAATTTATTCTGTTGTTCTGTTTCTTAGTTTAGGTAGTTTTCTGTATATTCTAGTGTTTTTGTTAAATTTACCTTTACTTCCTGTTAATTAAACCTTAATTTATTCCATTTTACATCTTGGTTTTTATTTTTGTTACTTCCCTCACCCGGAGCTTTACTTTAGTTAGTTTAGTCCTGGTTTAGTCTTGGTTTAGTCCTGGTTTATTCCTGGTTTAGTCCCGGTTTAGATCTGCTTTAGACCTGGTTTAGTCCTACTTTAGACCTGGTTTAGTCCTGGTTTAGTCCTGGTTTACACAGTTACAGAGTTGAGTTTCTGTGTGGAGTTTGTTCTCCTCGTGTCTGTGTGAGTTTCCTCCGGTTTCCCTCATCAACCCCAAACACCGAAATGCAAAAAACGAGCAGCTGTCAAATAAAAACAAAAACCGTGTCGTACTTTGCCCAGGTCTTTCTTCAGGGCGTCTGCGATCTCGCTCTTTCTCTCCGTCACAAACTTCAGCAGGTTCCTCAGCTGTTGTTTCCTGAACTCCAGCGGTCGAGTTCTGCCCGTCCTGAAGGCCTCTCGCGCCCTCTGCACCACCAGCGCCTCCCGGGACATGTCCTGCACACACCACCACACCACGCTCACTTTTACTGGTTTACCTGGTTTAGACCTGGTTTAGTCCTGGTTTAGACCTGGTTTAGACCTGGTTTAGACCTGGTTTAGACCTGGTTTAGTCCTGGTTTAGACCTGGTTTAGACCTGGTTTAGTCCTGGTTTAGTCCTGGTTTAGTCCTTGTTTAGTCCTGGTTTTAGACCTGGTTTAGTCCTGGTTTAGACCTGGTTTAGTCCTGGTTTAGACCTGGTTTAGACCTGGTTTAGTCCTTGTTTAGACCTGGTTTAGTCCTGGTTTAGTCCTGGTTTAGACCTGGTTTACCTGGTTTAGTAATGGTTTAGACCTGCTTTAGTCTTTGTTTAGACCTGGTTTAGTCCTGGTTTAGACCTGGTTTAGTAATGGTTTAGACCTGGTTTAGTCCTGGTTTAGACCTGCTTTAGTTTTGTTTAGTCCTGGTTTAGACCTGTTTTAGTCCTGTTTAGTTTTAGTCCTGGTTTAGTCCTTTTAGGTTTAGTCCTGGTTTAGACCTGGTTTAGTCCTTGTTTAGTCCTGGTTTAGACCTGGTTTAGACCTGGTTTAGACCTGGTTTAGTCCTGTTTAGACCTGGTTTAGACCTGGTTTAGTCCTGGTTTAGTCCTGGTTTAGACCTGGTTTAGACCTGGTTTAGTCCTGTTTAGTCCTGGTTTAGTCCTGGTTTAGTCCTGGTTTAGACCTGGTTTAGACCTGGTTTAGTCCTGGTTTAGTCCTTGTTTAGTCCTTGTTTAGTCCTTTTAGACCTGGTTTAGTCCTTGTTTAGTCCTTGTTTAGTCCTGGTTTAGTCCTTGTTTAGTCCTGGTTTAGTCCTGGTTTAGTCCTTGTTTAGACCTGGTTTAGTCCTGGTTTAGTCCTGTTTAGTCCTGGTTTAGTCCTGGTTTAGTCCTGTTTAGTCCTGTTTTAGTCCTGTTTTAGTCCTGGTTTAGTCCTTGGTTTAGTCCTTGTTTAGTCCTGTTTAGACCTGGTTTAGACCTTGTTTAGTCCTTGTTTAGACCTGGTTTAGTCCTGGTTTAGTCCTTGGTTTAGTCCTTTTAGTTTAGTCCTGGTTTAGTCCTTGTTTAGTCCTGGTTTAGTCCTGGTTTAGTCCTGGTTTAGAGTCCTTGGTTTTTAGACCTGGTTTGGTCCTGGTTTAGATCTGGTTTAGACCTGGTTTAGTCCTGCTTTAGTACTAGTTTCAAGATGGTTTAATCCTGGTTTAGTTCCATTTTAGTTTTGGTCTATCAGAGGCTCTTCAGTACTGTTTTAGTCCTGTTTTAGTCCTGTTTTAGTCCTGGTTTAGTCCTGTTTTAGTCCTGTTTTAGTCCTGGTCCCTCTGTACAAACGTGTTCTTCTGAAATACACAGGATTCTTGTGTTACTTTGGCCTTTTAGTTTAGTCAGTTTAATCTTTAAAATGTAAACTTTGAACAGAATCCTATTTTTAAATCACAAACAGAGGTACGGTGCAGTTACAGTGTCAAATATTGCAGGAGTAAAAGTCCAGAATCTGAAAACTAGTCTGAGAACCAAAAAAACAACAAAAAAAATTACATAATTCATCTTTAATAAAAACTTCTATTTATCACTATTTTCACCAAAAAACAAACCTAAATGAATCAACTAAATAAAATAAACGCCACATGCCAAAAATAACATAACGGTGCATGTTTATTTATAATATCAGAGACTAAAAATTGCATTAATACAAGAAAAGAAACATTTAGAGGAGATTCTGCAGAAAGCGCTTTGTTTATGTTTTGATGCAGAGTTAGCTTTAGCCTTAGCAATGCCCGATTATCAAACCTCCGTGACTTAATGCAAGCTTTATATGTTTATTTATGATTTTGTTCTTAGTATTAATGCTTAAACAAATAGATTTCTTACCATGAAATGTTAAATCGTGCACCAAAAAGTAAGAAAAGTCTCGTTTCGTTCTTATGACTGTGTTGTAAACTTTAGCCGCACGCCCCAAGGTTCGCGTCGCCCATTGGTCCAGCAGCTAGTCACTCTGAAGACGGACCAATCAGAGAGTAGAACAGACGCTAAGTCCCGCCCACACAGTAATAACATACACAAACTCGCCCAAAGCTCAAATTCCATCGTTTTTTTTGGCCAATTTAAGGTCACGTAAGGTCATGTTTAGAGTGAGCAGACGTCTTTATTTACCCGGGACAGTCCCAGCTCTGAGTCCTGTGTCCCCTGTCCCTGCAGATTTATACAAAACCACTGATTTGTCCCAGTTTTATACAAGAAATGTCCCAGGTGTCCCTATTTTTGACCACTTTGATCTAAACCAGGACTATATCAGGGCTATTTCGGTCTAAACCAGATCTAAACCAGTACTAAACCAGGGCTAAAATAGAACTATTTCAGGTCTACACCAGATCTAAACTGGGTCTGAAGTAGGACTAAACCAGGACTATATCAGGACTAATTCAGGTCTAAACAAGGTTTAAACAAGACTTTAAACCAGGACTGAAGCCAGGTCTATTTCAGGTCTAAAACAAAACTAAACCAGGTCTAAACCAGGACTATATCAGGTCTAAACCAGGTCTAAAACAGAACTGAACCAGGTTTATTTCAGGTCTAAATCAGAGGAGCATAAATTACATTTGTTTATCGTTCAGAACTGAAGAAGCAGCTTGGATGAGCTGCGAAACGTCTTCAACCAAACTAACTTTTGTCCAGGCGACAAACTGAATTTTCTCCTCACTCATAATTACAAGTTTAAAAGTCATAATTATGAGTTTTAAAGTTGACTCTGAATCTGTCCTTGTCATGGAAGTTTAACCCAGATAAAAATCCATGTGTTAAAAGTACTTTTGCAAAAGCATATTTCATAGTCATAAAAGGTTAAAAAGACAATTCATTTTATTTTATTATTCATTCATTATTCATTCATAAAATAGACAGTTCATGTTATGGTTAACAAAATATTTGCTAAATTTAAAAAGGGATAAGAAATATTCATATTTTATTTTAGGGTCGGGCACCTTAACACGTTAATTTTGCATTAACTAATTAATTCATTATCGCCGACAATTATTTTAATGTTGTTAACGCCGTCGCAGTATTTTTTTTATTTTTGTAAACGTCTGTTGCTCACTGGCTTTTATTTTGAAAAAGTCCACTGCGAGCGTTTCTTTAAGTTTAACGTCTTTTTTTAAACACTTTTTTTCACTTTTTCTGACCACGTGAGATGCAACATGTCCGAGCCTCTGTGGCCCGCGGCCTCGGGCTCCGGCTGGGCCAGACCAGCAGTGAGCTGAGTTTCTGCGGCTCTCCGGTTCAAGGGTCTTTCTCGTTCTTCTCTGTCCAAATAGAGGTGTCCAGTGCGGTTTTCAATCACGTCAAACGCCCCTAGTTTGCTGCTTGACTTTTTTTTGAGTCATTCGCTTCATTCGTGCTTCCTGGTCGCTTTAGTTTGGGAATTTTGGTTGCGCGAGTAAATCCGCTCTATTTGTTGTTGCTCCACATACAATATGTTCTCTGGCTGCCTAAGAAATCATCCCGAGTTTACAAAGTTTTCCTTTTTGTTTCTTCCTGTGGATCAATCCTGTCCATCAACTTCACCTTTCACCATTTTTCAATTCTGTTGGGAAGAGAAACAGTTTGAACGGAGGTTTGAGTCACACACATCTGATTCACTTTTGCACTTGGGGAGTTCACAAACTTCCGAAGTCCATTTCTCGAGCCGTTTTCCGCTGTTAGGATCCAACAACCACACAATTAACGATGTCCGAATCCCAAAACTAAAATATGACAATATCAGAACCAGAAACAAAAGTGATATGGTTCAAAAGACTTGAAAAGATCGACTTTGACAATAGACACATCCCACTGGGAAAACAAACATGGAGGATCCTTCCCAGTATGGATTGCGCGATGACCGGAAGTGTGAAATTCATGATGCATCTACTGGAGCTTTAAAGTGTAACTGTGTGTAAAATGTGTTAAATAAACTGCACACCTGAGTCTTTCTTCTGATTACACGTCACTCCTTTAATTGGAAAATGCAGACACATGAACATGGTCAAAATCTCGCAGGTTTTTACAGGCATTTCTTAATACACGAGTAGAGTCTTTACAGTAGTAGTAGAAAGAAGGTCGGAGCTGCCTTGTTGTAGATTTTTATTGTTATTTCTCAGTAGGATTTTTCTTAACTAAATCCTTGGCAGATTATATTATAAATTATTTACACTTTGTGCTTTTTAAACTGGCAAGACGTCCCCACACATTCAGCCATTCATGCAACACTCACAGATATTTACATCAAGTTTAGGTTCGCTACCATCAACACGACTCGGGAGCGGTGGCTGTTTAAAGCTGCACTGTGGGACTTTTCTGGTGGAGGGTCCGTCTCAGTGCTCGTCTCCATGGAGATGTTACGGCTTTAGGTCAGAATGTCTGTTTTTCGAGGTGTTTTTGAGCTATAGATCCACCTGTGATTGAATAAATATAAACTAGAGCTGTTTAAAGTCACACTGCGGGACATTCCAGGCAGAGCGATGACGTCTCCATAGAAACAAGAAGGTGACGGAGCCGCAACTGTAAAAATCTGTGTGTCATTCGTTCATTTGTTTTTCAAAATAAAACCAAAAATAAGAAAATTAAAAAAACAAAAATTTTCTTATTTGTCTCTAAAACCAAACACACGGACTGAACCAGGTCCAGGACCAGACCAGGAACCAGACTGGGACTGAGACCAGGACTCAGAGTGGGACCAAGACCAGGACTGAGACCGAGAAGAGACCAGGACCAGACCGTGATTGAGACTGGGACTAGACCGGGACCAGGCCAGACCAGGCCCAGACCGTGATTGAGACCGGACCAGACCGGGACTGTGACCAGGACCAGAACAAGAGTGAGACCGGGACTGAGGCCGGGACCAGACTCTGATTGAGACTGGGACTGAGACAGGGATCAGACCGGGACTAGGACCAGAAATGAGACCGAGACTGAGGCTGGGACCAGATCAGGACCAAACCCTGATTGAGACCGGGACTGAGACCAGGATTGAGACCGGGACTGAGGTCGGGACCGGACCAGGACCAGACCAGGACCACACCGTGATTGAGACCGGGACTGAGGTCGGGACCGGACCAGGACCAGACCAGGACCACACCGTGATTGAGACCGGGACTGAGACAGGGAGTGGGACCAGACTGGGACTGAGACTGGGACCAGACCAGGACCGGACCCGGACTGAAAACAGTTTAGTCCTGTTTTAGTCTTGGTTTAGTCCCGGTCTCAGTCCCGGTCTCAGTCCCGGT